ATCCTCATTCCAGAATTCCAATACAAGATTCAGCAATTTGTGATCAAGTTGTTTGAGCTTTCACCCTTCTGCTCTGCTTTCCTTGGATGTGTTACTAAACATATTACAGCTGAAAATAAACCAAAATAGTGTTAGGCAGTGAAATTAAAAGCAACTGCGAACGTCTTCCAAACTAAGGTAAATAATATATTGAGCAAGTTAGGTCAATTATGCTTGATGATTCTCAGTTGGGGTGCTAAGACCGTTACTTATTACACTGTTCACAAGCAGTTGCCAGCTTACCTTGTTCTCTCTTCTTTATTTACTTTTCCACCTGATGTAGAATATCAGGATGTGTAGTGTTTTCAAGTTTGGAGACAGGGGGATGAAAGTGTTCTTTTCTTATAATGTTCTTTTTTGTGCATGTACGTAATGCCTAAAGCAGGACTGCAATGGAAATTATGGTTAAAATATTTTCTAGAGGAAAAGGTCAGCTGAAGTAAGAAAGAAGAACGATGATCTCATATTTCTGACAGTTCAAATACAAGCAAATCTTAGCACCAATAAGTTATGTCATCTGTTAAATTCACATAAGCAGAATGCCTCTGTATATTTTGCACTGTTATGACAAGGCTGTACAGAACAGGGGTAAATACTCCATATGAAATAGCTATCTACATAGGGTTACTTGTATTTATTCTTATCTTTAAATAAATCAAATGAGAATTAAAGCCAGCATGGTTTTCTGTTCTGTCTTCAGAGACCTAAGCTGTGCCACATTAAACAACATAGTAAGCATAAATTTATATTTGGCCAGAATGACACTGAAAGTTATACCTTAGTATCTTACTCATTGAGATACTGTCCATCCTGACCTTGGCTATAGCTTCATATTTTACACACCATTACTGTCATAGTAACAGACAGAGCCAACAATAATTTGCTCATACAATTTACAATACATTGTCTCCCAGCCACACTGAGGGCTCTTTAACCATCAGCAGATGTGTTGCTTGTATTAGCTATATTTGAACAAAGCAGAATCTATTCAGCCCTATGGCTGCTTGGCTGTGCCTTGAGCTTAGTGCATAGCTAATTTGGTGTTCATACCACTGTAACTAATTACAGCACAGCTGAGGAGTTTCAGAAGTTTTAGCCCACAACCTGCTGTCTAAATTTCACGCGTTTCTCCCATTCCCAGCATCTTTTTTTTTTTTTAGGAGTTTTAGGAGTCTATCCTTGGACAGGTTAATCAGCAACTAATACTGTAGCTGCTCTGTGACGCTGCTCTGCGCTGTCCTTTAAATTGTTTCTATGTGAATACTACCGAAAGCTTCTTTCACCATAACCCTACAAACATTAAAGGTCACTTTTTAAATGCTCAATATTTGTGCTTCATTATCGAGTCACAAAATCTTATACAAACCTATATATTTGTATTAACATTCCTAAAAAGAAACTAATGTAAAGGAGATAAAACACCATAACTGGTGTCCTGCAAGAAGGACAGAAAGGCTGTGGTGTTCATTAAGATGTAGGTACAGACCTACCTCTGGAGGTAAAGGCATTAAGAAAGAGGAGACTGGGAAGAAAAAGAGGCAACTCCTTAGTTCCAGGTTTAGCTTCCTGATATAGCAATGCAAATGTATCCAGCACAGGGCAATGAAGAACACAGCTATCATTACATTTTTTTCTGGGTATAGACCCATCCTGACCTGGTGAAAACCCTCAGCTAGGATCAACAAATAACTTAAACCAGTTGTCCATGAACTCAAATTTATTTGGGCAGAAAAGCTGTCTGGCTTCAGAGATCAGTAGGCTGAGAGCTACAACTACTATTTTTAACAGCTGCAGTAGGCAGAGAATTGCCTTCCCGGAAAATTCCCCAACCAACTTTTGCTTTGTATTAAAAGAGTATGAAGGAAAAAGAAACAGCTCAGAATGTTGCAATATATTTTACTTTTTTGCTAATTTTTGCTCCTTTATTTTTCAGAATAAGAACTAGAGGGTGAGGAAGAAGGCAAGTCTGAAATAGCTAGGGTTGACTTACACAGCCTGTATTTTCCTCTGCTGACTTGCCCCTTCTTCTGTCAGTAGTTCCTTGCACATTTTACCCAGTGCACAGCCTTGTCTTTTTAATACCTTCATCCTGTCACTTATTTCCCCTCCTAGAATCCATAATATCCCCCCCTGGCACCTGCCTATTAAACCTACTGTGGCAGCACAATGTAGAACGTGGTGTTTATTGCCTATTGCCTATTTTGCTTGTTGCCTATTTTGATCGTATGGCTCCACAGACCAAAGATTTTGCTCTTAAGCCTGACATAGCCAGCCTGCAAGGGAATTGTACAGCTGTAGAGGAGTGCTCTTATGCTCACTAGAAAAAGAATTTAGGTTCTTAGATTTAGAATCTCCCCTTCTTCTTCTTACTGCTTCCACAGGAGATAGTATTTCTCTAAGCTGATCCCCAGCTGCTTTATTGGCCCCTTGAGTCCATTGCCAGATAATACATAACCCCAAACAGCCTTAAGTTTGCTGGAAGTTCCTCCAAGGGTCTGGATGCAGGAACACTGCATCCCAGAAAAAGGCAGCTTTACACTTCCTCCCCTGGGTGTCCTTTTTGCTCCTTGGACGTAGTAGAGCATCCGGACTTCATATTTCATTTCTTTCTCTCTGCTTCCCTTTCTGCAGCCCTGATGCATGTCAGGCCTCCTGCCTCTTTGCAAAATCCAGGTGAATTTGCTGTAAAGTTAGATGTTGGTCTAATTACTGCAGACTGGATGTTTAATCCTGCTGCTGCTTCTGTTCGAAGGATCACAATGCCTGAACTGTCAAGAGCTGGCAATGGTCCTCTGGGACCTTTTGTTCTTATATAATAATACCCATCTTAGTTGTGATGATTATGAAATGAAGGACCTTATCCCTTTTCCTAAGCTGGTTTTGCTTAGCTCCAACGTGCCTCCAAATTTTCTGAACTTCAGGGTAGTAATTGTCATCAGAATAGTTAATTTTGTTCTTATACAGCTCTTCATTGTTATTCCCAGCTGCCTGCAAAAAATTATTCCTGAGTTTGATAATTCTGGAAACAGAAAACTACGTATCTTAGCTGGATCTGGGGATTTTTTTGCTTCTGCCCTATAAGGTCTTTATAGAATACTATCAAAATGCAAGGACTGTGTAAGTGACAGAGGCAACATTCCCACATTTTTGTTATTTTCTGCATTTTTAGGAATGCCATAAAACCTGTCATTGCTTCTCCTTTGAGCATTTTCTAAATCACCACATTTTGCTCTTTGGAGCCTGTTCTGTTTTACCAGGAAAAATGAGATGTGTGTTCCCTGCACAAGGTTAATCTATAAAATCTTTGCAATGTCTTCTCATCTGGCCAGCCTCACTTTAATTTCAGTGCTAGTCAACTCACTCAGAGAGGCACTTTAATCTTTCTAAAGTCTTTCTACTTCATTTCCCCATTCTTTTACTCTTTGTCTCTAACCCTTTTGAATGTATTATCAAAGTTTCTGGTAGCCAATGGTTTCCACAAAGCCCAAGCTCTTTCAGTCATGTTATCTGGTGAAAATCTCAGTTTTTAAGAGTATCTGTTATTCCTCAAGGATGTGGAAGAAAATATGTCATAAAGTACAGTAAAGATTGAAAAAAAGAGGATACAAATATCTCCAAATGTGTACTGTTTCTACAATTTCTCCTTTTCTTCTTAATCTTGTGATTTCTGGGGCCTGATTCATGATTTTGGAATGCCTGAGACTGGCAGTACTATTTGTTACCAAAAGCACAACAAATTTTCTTTTTCGCCAGCTGAGTACCTCAGGAGAGTTCTGGACAAGAGTCATCCTGCATCTCACTGCTTGAGCCAATCACTTTCCCCAGCAGTGCTTACTTAATACCATACTTTCTTTCCTCTCCCTTTCTGACATAAGAAACTCTTACACAGTTTCCCCTGTTCTTTCACACCTATTTTTTCATCATCTAAGTGTCGAAGTGGATAAAGTGAGGCAGGCAACCTTTATTTTAAAAACATATTCTGCAATACCACAGTCACATTTACACATGCATCTCTTCAGCGTCGGTGGTGGGTTAAGCAGCCCCTGTCACTCATTCTCCCTTGCATACCCCAGCCTGTAACGACGCTACCCTCCACGTGCACTTACAGAGAAACGCATCAGGCAACGGGGTGATCAGACTCAAGTGCAGCAAGGAATGCTCAAGGATGGTTAGGGTTTGTTTCTGCCAACCTATTTGGTGCTTGTGCCAAATACCTCACCACAGCCTGAGATGTGATGAAGCTGAATGTATTGGAGAACATTGAGGAAGGCTGCCAACATTACCCTTAAAATTAAAACAGTGCATTAAATATTATTTTTAATTTTCTGCTTCTGAGAAAAGTAAGTCATTTATGCAGGATAAGCTTTATGACTGTCATAGGTTGTTTTTTTTTTTTTTAATTGGCACTTTCACCATACTATTTTTTCAGACATATCTGCGACATTGTAGGGAACAGGAATCGATACGGTGCGCAGAACTACACCAAGGTACCAGGGTTGTTTTCATTTGTAATATTAGCATACTAAAAATATCTACACTTTTTTCAGTCCTGTCACTGTAATATTTGAGAACTTGAGATTCTATAGTCATAGCATACTAGTTTTTAATTAAGGAGATTAAAAATAAGATCAAATTATGGCCATGAAAAACAACGAGAACAGTGGAAAACAGTTAATCAAACATAATTCAAAGTGAATCTTCTCTCTATCATGGCCTAAAGATTACTGCATAGGCAGCAAACTCAAGTGTGTCATAGGGTTTCCAAATAAAAATTACTCTAGACAGTCTTGAAGGGTAGAAAGCTGTGTTGTTAAACACTGAACACAGTGCAAACCAGAAAGCATGAAAAGGTTTCTTGGATAAGTCTGTAAATAATATTTTGAAATACATCCTGAAGAGAACTGGGAATGATTGCAGAGATTTGCAAGGTAGGTTAAGCTGGTTTATCCTGAAAAATGTAGGTGAATCTACAATTCTGGGTAACATGAAGAAAAGTTCAACTATGTATGGCATCTTCCACTACAAAGAGCTAGAAGCCATCAAACGGAGGTAGTAAGAGCCACGTTTGAAATAAACAGAAGGAGATGGCAGGAGTCTGTAAACCTGTGCAGCTCCTTGACAAGGGGTGTTGCAGATAAGGCATGCGTACATCATCACAAGGGAAGGTATGACACACACTGACTGGACAGATACACAGAAGACTACAAAATAGAAAAACTACAATGGGTCCAGGAAGTCTCCTGAGCTGACAGGATAGTTGGAATGTAAATGTAACATAAAAAATGTTTTTAAACAGCTGGATTAAAATACTGCACATTAGTTATTACGATGTTAGCAGCTGCACTATCCTCTGCAAGCTTAGCTTTTCCAAATGATTAGAGCTATATATTACAAAATCACGCCTTGTTTACTTTTATGTCTAATATCTAATATCACTCTAATAGAAGTGCTTTAGGTTCTAATTCAGATAACAGTAGGTCTTGAAGATGTAGCCATAAGCACTCTAATCATGTGCTATATGGAACAAGATCTAACTATTAAGGAGAATATGAACTCTACCGCTTAAATAAAAGGCTGGGATCCAGGCAATCCTTCTTTGCAAACACAGGCTAAATCTCACTCTCTGTGTGACCTTGAGCAAGCTACTTGATCTTTTTGTGCCTTGTCAAGACAATTACTAAAAATTGGACTTCTCTGACTAACATGTTACTGTACATCAGCATAGAGAACACTAGAGTAAATGCATTACTGAAAACTCATGATAATAAAATGATGTGGAACCAAATTTCTTTCATTCCCTGTGATTTGCGTCTTCATAATTCTTACTGCACTCACTGACAAGGCCATTTAAGCCATGAGATCACTTGTTTTCCAACAAATTAAGTCCCAATACTTGCCAATCATTCTGCTTCAGAGGTCAAGGAAGATAAAGTCCTCCTCCTCCTTGCATAGATCCTTAAGACCATTAGAATTACATCTATTTGCAAGAAGTGCTCACAAAGCTAACAAGTTCCAAATGTTTCCTTTTCATAAATGCATGTTTGTTTCAATCACATGTTTTTAATCTGTGTAAACTGCCCACTTTTTATTTATCTCAAGTGTATGCCGTCCAAGAGATACCGTAACTAATATAAGTTAAGCAAATACTTTCGAATGGCCTATCGACAGAGACTGTTGAGCAAGAGGAAAAAACACTAAATTCTCATTAGCAGGTTATGAAATCTGTAACACCAGTAAGTAAAATACTAATTACGGGGAGTATCATTATTAAAGCTTGTTACTTAAAATAGGCCTAGCTGTAATTAAGACTAAATACACCATGGCAATAGGTTTGAATACCTTGGACTTAAAATCACATTTACCTACACAGTGTAGGTTCATTACATGCTACCTCAAGGTGATCATTCAAAGGTTAAATGCATATTCAAAGCGCATCTTAAATTCTAGCTATAGTGAACACGCTATAGCTTTCTAGTAGGTAGAAATGCTTCTGAGGGTGGGACATTCCACCCTAGACTAGCTGTTTAAAATGAGCAAGATGAAACACGGCAATGCCTGCCTCGGTGATCGAGGCAGTCTAGACTAAACTCCTAGTTGAGTTTCCAGGTTGAACACCTAAATTCAGGTGAGATAAATCCCAGCCAAAGTAGGACAATCTTTTTAATGGTGCCAGGAAATGAATGTAAAAATGAACCAAAGCCAATAAGTCTCTCTGATAGCAAAATACATCTAGGTCTCTACTTCTTTTAGGTGCATTGTTTGGTCATTCTTGCTTGGAAGAAAGGGCTTTGCAGCATTTTAAAACTGTATGTTTTGTTTTAAATTTATATTAGAACGAATATGCTTTATAGAATTGTGACATCATAAAAGAATATGGAGAAAGAATATAGTTCAACATGTGTCCAACAGTTCTATTGTAAAAAGGACAGTGTTGAAAGCGACTGTCGTGGTTGAACGCCAGCTGGCAACTAAGCACCACACAGCCACTCGCTCACTCCCCCCTGGTGGGATGGGGGAGAGAATCGGAGCCACCTCCAGGAAAGCAGGGCTCCGTCACGCCTAACGGTTACTTGGGAAGACAAACGCCATCACTCTGAACGTCCCCCCCTTCCTTCTTCTTCCCCCAGCTTTATATGCTGAGCATGACATCATATGGTGTGGAAGATCCCTCTGGTCAGTTGGGGTCAGCTGTCCCAGCTGTGTCCCCTCCCAACTTCTTGTGCACCCTCAGCCCACTCGCTGGTGGGGTGGGGTGAGAAGCAGAAAAGGCCTTGACTCTGTGTAAGCACTGCTCAGCAGTAACAGAAACATCCCTGTGTTATCAATCAACACTGTTTTCAGCACAAATCCAAAACATAGCCCCATACTACCTGCTGTGAAGAAATTTAACTCTATCCCAGCCAAAACCAGCACAGAGACAACGTGCAAAACAGGGTAGAGAAAACATTAAACTTCAAACTCAAGAGAAGCCCTATTCCATAATCAGTGTGACCTCTGGTAGATGCAGATTATTACTATTTAGGTTAATGTCAAAGAAACACCCATTAGAGGTTGCAGACATAGGATGGCCCCATAAAACTTGCTCTCCCAGTAGGCATCATTATAGGTTCTGGGCATTATTTTATTTTCATAGCATTGATAAGCTTTTTTTCCTAGGGCAGTTAAAATACAGGTGTTTAAACAGGGGTGGGGTTTGGAGAGTTTTGAGGGGATTTTTTGGCTTTCCTCATGGAATGGTTAAGAGCAAAATGTTCAATAAAAATTATCACTTTCACTTAGGGCTATTATATGTGAACCTATTTCTTCCAAAGGTTATACTACAGGTTGCTTAACAATTAGGGTTTGAAAAATGAGTCCAGGTGAAACAGAGATAAACCAGAGTCTCCAGAAGGTCATCCAACAACAGCAGTGATGTATTTATTTACATGTTAAATATATGGCAACTTATCATATCACAGCAATAACCTATTTCATATCAAATGGAATCTGAAGAGATTTTGGTGAGGAAACGACAAGAGATCATCTGGACATGTAAGCTGGCATGGGTCTAGTGGCATCCATTCTTTCAGTTAATTCATGAGGACTGGAACTAGCTGCAGAGCTGGGAAAGAAAGATAAAAGGGTAATTATAAAATATCTTTGAGCAACATTGTTGGATTTATGCTTCCAGTCTGAATCTGGTGTGAACTCTAATGAGGTTTCCCAAAGAAAGCAGGAAATCATTTCTTTTCCACTCCTATTGAAATAGCTTCAGCAATTTTGCACTTGGTTCTTGCTGCAATGATGTCCTGAGTTTCTCTCTGTTCTTATCTGATTCTTAGAGACATTAAAAACCTAACAATGCCAAGTGCTTGAAAGACGTCTTCACAAGACAGACTCTGGCACATAACATTGTCAAGGCTGTCTGGTCTCTCACCCATTTCTATGCAGTGAATGAAATACTGACATGTAAAGATATTAATCCAAGAAGCATTTTTCCGCTTTTAGGTTAAAAGAACCTTACAATCAAACCCTTCCATATGTCAATATCGCACAGGCAGCTGTCATTACACCCAGCTCTGTCCAGCTTTATTACTGTGATCAGAGCTTGATATGAAACCTGAAGCCTTTTGCCATACCTCTCAAGAAAAGAAAAGAGAAAAAAAAAAAAAAACAGCCAAAAATCTGACTTAGGTTTCCCAAAGATATAATTGCAAAGTAATGCTAGTCAGCAGGTTTATAATCAACCTTATGTGTAATTAATCAGTTCTCTCTGAGGTAAAACAAGTCTTCAGACTGTAACAGTAACATTGCTGACTAGAGGAAGAGTTGGGTTTTGGTGGGCTTTTTTTAAGACAATAGGAGTAGAAAACTGTAGGGACTGTTCCTATAGAGAGTCATCACCTTGCTGTACGTGGAACTACAACATACAATTCTCTCCCATACAGAGAAGTCCCAACTTAAATGTAACATTTTTTTCCTCTGAAACCCCTACTAGAAGGCAGCTTCCACCAAGTCATGGGACCTTTCCTCAACAATCTCCTCCTGGCCCTGGCCAAACTGGCCCCTGGGGTCTGCAGGAGGAGGCTATGTGACAGCAAGGATCCCAGCAACTCGGGGGGGTGTGACATGTGCACTCCCTCCTCCACCCCCATTTCTGAGTCGAGCCCAGCACACCAGGCAGCTACCACCAGTTCCCTGGGCACTCAGTGTCCCCCATCCCATCCCTTAGCAATCTCTTTTCCAATCCTCACACCACGTCCTTTCAGTTTTCATCAGTTCTCCTCCTGACTTAATCCTTCTCTTTGTGTTTCCTGTTTCTTTGGCCCCTTCCCAATTGGTGAAGACTTGACACTGGTTAGGGCTGGGCATTAGTCCTAAAAGGAAAAGGACAAAATAACTACGATCTTGTTGCTCCAGTGGTTACAGATGCTCTTCTAACTTTCAGCCTAAATGTATCTCTATCAGTTTGCAGCCCTGTGCCTTCCTTCCAGAGTTAGGTAAGACTGAGTAGTTCCCAATTGTGTTTATTCTCTATTCTCCTAACCCACAAAATATATTTATAAACTATTCACATCCCTTCTCAACCTTCATCAGTCAGGCTAAATATCAAATTTTTTGAGTCTGCCCTCCTAAAGCAGGCTTCCTCTTCCACCATTCTCTGCACCTGTTCCAGTTTGAATACTTTTTGTGGTTTTTAGCACAGGCAGATAAAATTGTGTAAGAATTCAGCAAAGGTCATATTGGTACCACACAGAAAAATTCCTCTTTTATTTAATGCCTCTGCTAGCAATACTTCGCCTGAGATTTATATTTACTTTTTTCCCAGCTGTGCCACATCCTTGGCTCAGTCAGAAACCTTTGTCTTTCCCTGCTTTCAACTGCAGCTTCCTGCTTCACATAAAATTTAAGAGAAGCTATGGCAATGAATTGAAATGTGTTTAATAACTTCTTGTTTCACTTAATTTAGTCACAATGAAGATTAAATGTTATTTATAGTCCTATTTTACTTGTTTAGATTAGAAGAATTTCTTATTCTTGAAATTCCAATAACTCAAAAATTATGCCAACAATTACAAACCAAATGCAGGGTGAAGGACAGGCATCTGTGCCAGGGTCTGGGGCTGCAGTTCCAGAAGCTTCAGCTTTGCTACTGTCAGCTTCAAAGCCTGACTACAGTTTCAAAGATGTCATCAACTCACTGCAAAAATTAAGGCTGTTTTAAGAGGTTCCCTGGCTGTTTATAGGGATCCAGATCTCAGCACAGCCAATTCAAGAGGTGGGAGCACATGTGTGAGGACGTCTTTGGACTCCTCAGACATGCGCTGGACTATCCCTCAGCTCAAGTTCAGCATCCTGTAGAGCCTGAGATTTATCATGGAAATTAGCAATGACTTGAGCACAGAAAGCCACAGTCACGCTAACCTAACTCTGCCATGATAGTTGAAACATGAGGTTCTTTGTTTTTTCCTATTCCTTGAAAAGGTCATGGCAAAATGACTGATTTACAGACAGATAATCTTTCTCCAGCTGTTGCTGAAGCCTTATCTCCTCCTGTGCTTGATATGGCCAGTTAAGCCAGCATCATGGCTGTGAAGCATCAGTAAACCAGCAAAGCCAGGGATCAAGGCCTTTCATAGATTATGAGGCCAGATAGATTATCTGATTTCCTTTATAATAGAGTCAATAAAAGTCCTTAAATCTATATGTCTCACAGCTGAAGTAGCTTTATCAGTGTTATTTAACTCTTCCAGAAAATGCATTATTTCCTCTATTATTTTACTGGCTTGCTTTGCTGATCGCTGAAGTGTGTGCACATTATGAAGCTGGCCTTCCAGGCCATGCTCTCAATTCTGTTTTTACTTTAATTCAATGATTTGCTATTGGATAAAACAACAGAGCCCTGGAAGCATGGTCTGGAATCCCAGTTCTGCCCTTGGTCCAGGCACAGCCCACAGTGCAGGACTAGAGCCAGGCTCCCTCCTGCCTCCTGCTCTCCACCTCCCACTTCCCAGGTGAGTGGTTTTACCACTAGCCCATCATGCAAAAGACAGATGACAGCATGTCAGATGATGACAGTTGCTTTCCTGACCAGATCCAGTACCAGATTTCCTAGAATTTGAATATCAGGACAGTGCTAAGCAGGAAATGAACTCCTCTTTCAAGTGAGTGAGATATAGACTCAAGACTAGACCTAAGTGGCTAAATGTAAATGTTCAGGCTGTCTGGGTTGGTATCTAACAAATCTATGTGCCTACAGGTTTGACAGGCAAAAAGTACGTAGGTTGGATCACTACTTGGCCTGTTGCAGAATATTTCTGCCTTTTATCACTCCACTGCAAGGGTTAACATGATACGAGCTGTAATGAGCTGGCTAGCTCCTGACATGAACAGAATCTGATTGATTATATGCATAGTACACTAACTCTCTGCAGATGATAATGGCCATCCATGTATCATGCATTCAGCAATCACCAACATCTTTAATACAGATGTAAACCTTTGTATTGATGCCAGTTAAGCTACAATGAAGAGAGAAAGAATGTCAGAGAACATTCATTTTATTTCAAAGGGTCACTCCCAGCAGTGCAGCATGCCATTTTGTGCTGCCGTTGTTTCTCAGAAACATAATTCCCGGGAATGTACTGTTCCCCGTTTCAGAAATAGGGACACAATTAAACTGAGTATTACTGCACACAGATAAAATCCGTTGCAGCACAGCTCTCATCGTTTATGCGATAGCCCTTTGAGTTTGTGACAGGACACCAAGGTGAAGATAGTGACCACCATGCCCCACTGGACCAGCTGTGATGAGTTAGCCATAAAATGAGTTTCAGTAGGTTTTTCTCACCTTCACGTCACAAAATCCATTTTCAGGGATCTACATAAAAACACCACAGAGTTTTCAAAGGTTCTGAATAAACTCACATGCTCTTGGAATCGATGGGAGTCACAGGCAGATATCACAAAAGGAATCTGCAGAAGAATAACTCAAAAGAGAAATTTCTGCATTGAATGGAAAAGAGTTTTATGAGGTATGGGTGGAAAAGAGGATAATGTGCAAAGGCAACAAGAAATGTCCTACAGCAAGAGAAAGGAAAGAATGGTGAGATACCTGCATTTCCTAGTTCTCAATATGGTGATAGCACATAAAAACATGCACAGCAGACTAGAAAGGCAGGGGAAAGGACGGCAGGGATACATGGGATGGGTCATAACACATGCATCCGAAATTGCCAGGATAAGTAGGTTGAGCTGAAAAGAGAGAGGGGAGACAGATAATAGATTCAAAGGATATGTTTCTTTGCAACATAAGCTCAGTACTCCTAAGTGCAAGTTCTACATCATATTTATAAATCCTAACTTTGTGCTGAGCACAGCCTACTGCTAGAGATGGCCTGCCCAGACCCTGCCCTTGTTCGGTGTCAACCTATTTTGCTCTATGGTCAGTTGTTTTCTCCCTTGTAGCAACACAAGCATTCAGGCAGCAACACACTAAAGAGTTTATCTGGCTGGAAAGCAAGAAGCAAAACACAGTCATTCCTCACCTGCATCGGTTTCCTGATCTAATTCAGTAGGAGCCATTGCAAATGGTTCTGTTAGCATCACACAGGAGTCAGCAGACAGAGACTGGCATGAAGAATGAGCATTCATGGAACGGGGCATGGACACATGCAATGAATTATGCTCTTAACTTGACGTTTGCTGTTTATGCTTCATATCTGAAAGAGGGCTTGTATGCCTGAAAGCTTGTCTGTGTTATTTTATCAGTTAATCTAATAAAAAACAACATGAGAGAATGCGCAGAATTAAGGTTTGGGGCAAAACCAGATCTATTTTGTAACTAAAATACTTGCTTCCTTAAATAATTAGTTTCACAAAATTACCTCTGCTTCATTTATGTGGTTCTGTAGACTATAAGCCAAGTCTTGCAGCAGTTAGAATTAAATCACAGAAATGGGATTGGTCAGAAAACAAATGACAAAGTAGAGAAGCTTAAAGGTCAAAGCCCCGAAGAGCTAAGTATTCTTTGAGGAACATTTCCATCCCCTGATGTAGATGGGTGTAACTCTCAGACTTGAAGTCATCGGTAGGAGTGGCTGATTGCATCAGGTGCATGAATATGGTCCCCAAGAGGCCCAAGTATCCCATGACATCAAATTAAATAAATGGGAGGCCTCCTTTCTCTTTCACTCTCTGCCTGGTACTTCTTGCTTACTTCCTCTCCCTCTTTACCCTCCACCAAATGTGTAAGACACTTATTTTTCATGCCAAAACATCCAACACAGCTGCTTATGCTTCCAAGACAAGCTCATGCCATCTCTTGTGCCATCTCAAATAACATGAAAGATATTTAGCAGATCCGCATTTGCCTACACTGTATTTGGCCAACATCTTCACAGGGTCCATTTAACACTGGGACAAGTGAGATTTTCTTAGGTGTCTGTATTATATGAAGGAGGGGAGACATATTTGGCACTGTTATTTTTATACATATGTCATTATGACAAATCTGGTATTATGATAATTAAGAGTCGTGTGTCCAGAAGACAAAGTGGCTACCAATTCAGTTTGTTCAGCAGTTCTTGCTGTGTGAGAACACTAAGAAAAAAATAGGTGTGAAAAAGAAAATTCCATATGGTGGAAAAGAACAGTCCAGGACTCCAGAAAGACACAGGAATTCAGATTCACTTAACATACAAGCAATTCACCTGGGTTTATATGGGAATTAATCTCACTTCTTCCCATAAAGTAAAAAAGATGCAAACAGAAAAGTATAACTGATGAACCTATCAAGAAATGTCAAATCCTCCACAAGTGCAAGTCAGAAGCTCAATTTAATTGGCAAAACACAATTAAGAAAGAAAACAGATTTAAAGACTTACTGGACTTCTCTATTTGCATAGCTAATTCCTGTGTCTATAAACACCTTGCAAAAACTACTTGACCTTGAAACTTTACATGTACAAATCAGTCAGAATTAAGTAGCCTTTCTGTCCTGAAGATGTTGTTTCAGAAGACTAAGCTTCAGCATTTCAACTGCTCAGCTAAAGCATTTAAAGTAAATTAATTTGTCTGACTTCTAGAGCAGATTACTGAAAATAGGACCAGTTGCTACCTTTTTTTTTTAATCTGCTATGGGAATTTCAGACCTCTGTGTTTCCTCCCCAGGAAAGTATCCAAACCTGGAATTCTGTCATGGCTTCTGTTGCCTGTAGCTCTGTCCAGACTCTCATCCCTTCCACTCAAGTGAAGACTGATACAGCCTTCCTACAGCTACAGAGTTACCCAGAGATCAGCTGAACACAGTCATCAGGAACACATATAGCAGTCATAAGAAAAAAGTGTCGGTGACCTTCCCTTTTTCTCCTGCTCCAGAATTAATCACACAGAAACAGATGACAATACTGCCCCTGAAGATGATGATAGTTCAGTGTGGTTACCCAACCCTGATTCATCTGACCAGATGCAGACATCCATACAGAAACTTGTTGTCCAAGGTAGGTTTTCTAGACAATGGAGAAAAATGTTTCCTCCCCAGGAAAGTATCCAAACCTGGAATTCTGTCATGGCTTCTGTTGCCTGTAGCTCTGTCCAGACTCTCATCCCTTCCACTCAAGTGAAGACTGATACAGCCTTCCTACAGCTACAGAGTTACCCAGAGATCAGCTGAACACAGTCATCAGGAACACATATAGCAGTCATAAGAAAAAAGTGTCGGTGACCTTCCCTTTTTCTCCTGCTCCAGAATTAATCACACAGAAACAGATGACAATACTGCCCCTGAAGATGATGATAGTTCAGTGTGGTTACCCAACCCTGATTCATCTGACCAGATGCAGACATCCATACAGAAACTTGTCCAAGGTAGGTTTTCTAGACAATGGAGAAAAATGAGTATTTCTTGGGCAAAATGTATCTTGCAGGATAAGCATCTAAAATAGAGAATGATTCATGTTACCTTAGATGTCTACTTCTCTTGACCTTGAGTGACTAGTTGAGATGCAGACATCTAGAACAATCTAAAAACAAGATGTAAGCATCTTCAGGGCTTGGGATCCCAGCCAGTGGCATATTTTCTTGGAGTTCATGCTGTTGTTTTTCAGTGGCAATCCTGCTCTCCCGAAAACAGTGGGCAGTAGGACCTGCACTGAGGTCTCCAACATTACAGTGAGGCGGAAGCTTGCTCCTCTGCTTTGCCATATCTCAGAGCATTTTGCTTACTGCAGAATTTGTTGAGCATCTCTTGTTAGTAATTTTCAACACTACATGCTGAAACTGCAAGCCCAAATACAGCCTCCGAGTACCAGGGTGGTATCCTACTGTAACAGCCATTCTCACTACCATAGCTTTCTTGGCTAGACAGAAGGAAGAAATGTCCACAGCCAAAACATAGGTAGAATTTAGACACTAACATCCAAAATTGCAGCATGTAGTGCCTCTTGCCAGCCCCAAATATGCTTACTTCTCCCCTGAAGCCACATGCCTAAAATCCACTGTTCCCTCTGCCCTTCAAACTTTATTTCTGGGCAACCACTGGGAAATACCCCAGGATGAACTGCCTGAGCCGCTCAACACCTACCTCAGGCCTGAGCCCTCTTCAGATCCACAGATCAAGCACTCTGTCAATCTCTCCCGAGACACTCAATTCAGCAAGTGCTCTCAGAAACACTCAAAATGCAGCAGCAGCTGCCATCCACTTTCAAAACAGCTCAATTTAACCAACATAATTTCCGCTCCCTCTCTTGCTGCCAGCTCTGGAGACCTACCCTTCCCTTTCACCAGCTCTGGCATTCATTTGACCCCTTAGAAAGTGAATTTAGCTCACTAAACTGGCAGAAATCTAACCCAACAAAACAAAACAAATCAAGAAAAAGTGAATAGTTTTCACCACTTTAGTGAGCTAATGGATCAGACGCATCCCAGACATGACAGAAGGGAGACAAATGGAGCATGTGCCCAGGAACAGGCCTGCCCCTTTCACCAGCAGCAAGTTCATGGGCTGACTCAGCTGCATCTTGAAACCTCACCCACAGGAGAGGAGAAAGCCTGTTGGAGGGGCCAGATATGCTAAAGAGGACTAGGGCAGAGTGAGCTCTTTCCAGTCCAGCCGCAGTGCTGGAGGGCCCAAGCCACTAGAAAAGCAGGGCTAGGTACGACTAAGTCTTCTGCCTTCAAGTTTGGTTACCCATCAGCTCAGAAATGGAAGAAAAGGCAGGAAAAGCAAGGGAGGTTGTCAAAACTTACCAGTTTCTGGAGAAGGGGTTCTGCTGGACTAGTCATGCCTTTGAAAGGATAACGCTATGGTCGGCTGTCAGCACAAAAAATGATGTGTCCTATAATAAGAAAATTAAGGACCAATCACATCAAAGTGTACCACAGCGACTGAGGACATTAAGGACTAAGCTGAAAGAAAAGCTGATCTAATACAGTAAAACTGGACTACTTGCAACATTTCCTGGTCAGTATACACAATTGAGAAACATCAGAGAGTGAGAAGTCTGGGTTGACAAAGCTAGTAAATAATTTGTCAAAGAGAAGAACCTGCCCCGTGTTAAATCTGTGTATGGATATAATTGACCACATTTCATCTTAGGAGAAAAGAAAAGTTGTGGCCAACTTCAAAGGAAGCTGAACAAAAGTATCTCTAATGATTAATGAATTAGCATCGTTGAGTAAACGAGTTATTCTGAATGCTTGCCCAGAGGCAGTCATGGGAAAGTTTCCAGAACTATTGTCATTTTTCCTGGAACTCATTGACTTTAAGGACTCCACAGCTGCAAGAATTGTGTGAGCATTTCAAGACTGTCAATTTCACCACTGATTTTCTGAAAAATTCTTCCTGAACTGATTTTTATTGGTTTCAGCTGGGGAATCCATTGCACCCAGCCAGGAAATGCCACATGCCTCCTAAGCTACTGCTCTATTCTTCTTGCACTGATGCTATCAGAGACTCAAATTCACTGCAGGGAGAAGACTGGGGGCCAAGTTTGCCCTCTGATGTATGCACGCAGCTCCCATAGAGCTAATGCAGAATTTTTTCGCCTTTGATGCCTCTTATAAAATGCAGTTTAAAGAAGCCTGGAAGTATTGCATTAGAACAGGGAGTTCACACTATTGGTGGTCCCCATTGTCATTAACACAGTTAGTGGCATTCCAGTGAAAAACACAGAACAACTCTTTTGTTTGTTTGTTTTATAAGCAGATCTTTCAGGGTGGGATCTGGCTTGCTCAAATCCCACCAAAGATGGAACTTCAGCATCTAAAACCCACGTACACCAAAAGTGATCCACTCTGCCTGCTTTCCAGAACTGCCTAACTCATCAGGGGCTTCCCTCCTCTGCCTGAAAACTCCCCAGGCAACTAATTTACAGTTACACATTCAGCAGAGCCAACTGAGCGCACTCCGAAAAGGGGTTAGAGAGGGTGTCTCACTCCCCTTTCCTCCTCGCTTACTCCCAGCCATGCAATGCCATCCCTTGTCTTGTGCTAGCCGTGATGCTCATGGGACTCTCGCTGTGGCAATTTAACTCATTACACAGCAGAAAATCATCCACTTCTTTGCTGGGCTTCTTTTCTGCCGCTTCAGTGAGTTGAATCAGCTCCCAGCGGGGTCTCGGTCCCACAGGTAGCCCAAGGTAAGTGGTTGGAGCATGCAGGAGTGGGAGTGGGACCACTTTTCTGGTGGTGCTTTTGTGTCATGAAACCAGTTGCTCAATTGCCAGTCCGTGTTCGGAAGCTCCACTTCTGGGGAGAGAGGAGCTCGCTCCAGCTGAGACATCTGCCGCAACCTTAAGGAGGAAACTACCCAGGATCTACCTCTAGCCCCAGAAAAATCTGAAAACTTAAGTAAGGCCAAGGCTACAGCTAACGTCAGTCACTGGCTCTTGGAAAACCTACATCAGGCAATTTAGTTCTGTTGGCTTGGCTTTTTCTTTGATATACAGTTTAGATTTTTTTCTATGAAGTCTAATGAAGAAAAACAAATTAGAGTAAATCATTAAAGTAAATTAAATACATATAAAAATAATTTCACAGTGAAGGAAACGTAAGCGAAGACATGTAACTTGGAGCAGAACTGAATCCACACCCGCCTGCTGTACTCAGCTCACCTCCGCCTACCCCTACGAGCACACACCCCGGGTGTGCTGCTCTGCAGAAGTGCCTCGGTTCTGTGTCCAGGCTCCCATTTTCAGTAGAGCCAGAAAGCTTTGATCACAGCTCCTTCCTGAATACATTCTTGTGTGCTGGAGCAGCCGTGTGAGGGCCCTTGATGGGACTGAGTGCTGAGAGCAGCAAAAGAAACTCATTTAGTTTGATGTGACAAAACTGCTCCTCAGACAAATGCTCCATGGTGGTCCCATGGTAGGAACATGCAAAGAAGGCCTTGCTGAAGTAATAATACTGAAGTAATTTCATGCCTCCACCCACTTCCAGGCCTCTTATTAATACAGACTCCGGAAATTTGTCATCCTCAACTGGTGTAAATGGATGCAGCTTCTCTGACTTCAGTGAAGCCATGTTAATTTACCTTTCAAATTTGCTGAGGATCTGGTCTTCATGGTCTTACAGTAAACTAGCTTAAGGAGCTTTATTCTGAGTCCTATTTATAAATAAAAGCTTGTTCTTCAGAAGTTCAACCTTCCTCAAGTCACAAAAATGCTCACTTTTTTCTAGTCTGTGATTAGAGAACAGACCTACGGACTATCTGTATTTTTAAATATCTAAATATTTAAACTTTCTTGTTTCCCAAAATTAGAGACCAAGTTCTGTAGAGGACATCCTATAAAAGTATTCTTTCCCAGATCTACAACTAGGCTTCAGGCTTGAACACCTACAAATCTGATATCCATAAATTACAGAGAAGCAACATTAACACCTAAAGCAAGGAAATCACTGTGTGAACTTTTACATTGCTTTCTGAAGTGCAATTACTTTGCACACATGCATTCAAGTTCTTATGAGTTCATTTGTTAAACAAACAGCTCCATCACTTGCATAACTGCCATCAGTAACCTCTCCTTCATTGCCACATATATATACACCTCATTCTTGGCAGCCTACTAAACCACTGGCAGCATTTCTCAGCACGTCCAGCAATTTTTCAAGCACAGAGAGAGGCTAGATCCCCATGGCTGCCACTGGTACAGAAGAAGAGAGGATACGGCAGACGACTCTGCTGTCAAAAGAGGCTGGCAGTGAATCCACCAGGAGTCTTGAGCAGAAGGACTCACAGATGAGTTAAGACCTGCATTGGTTGTATGATGGATCATCTCTAAAAGCACTCAGAATGCAACAGAAAAAGTTACAAAGAGCTTGATGTGACATGTAGGCTGAGATTGCAAACAGCTTTGCCTCTTCCCAAGAAGGGGCCAATATAGCCCCATCTCTTACTTGTAAATCTGGTATTTGAACAATCGCCTGAAATTCTGAAATTGATGCAGAATGTTAAAACCTGTTAAGCTGTTTAAGTCTGATGGGATGCATTAGGTGGGGCCAGTTCTCTAGTAACTGGATATTAACTGAAATATATTGAAACACTGTTTAACAGCTATTTTATTTAATGAAGTACAATCACAACCAGGTTTGCCATTTTTCTGAGGCCAGTGGAAAAAATGAGAGCATTAGGGAATTTCATTGCCTGCCTAGAACGCGACATTTCACACTGGAGCAGGATGGAAATCATGCAGATCACTGCCAAGCATGCGGGTTTGTTCTTATAAGATCTCTCAGACTCAGACTAATTTTAGAATGAAGAAAAACCCTGCTTCGAACTACGCTGCAGTACAAAATTCCCAGTGAGAAACTTCTACTCTCTTCTTTTATATTTCATATACACTTTCAGGTTCCTCACTACTACACTGTCA